TCCTAAGTTAACATACCAAGTGATGCTGGATTTTTTGAGTGATAGAATCAAAGTCTCTAGGACTTTACATATGCAAGTTATTTCACAAAGACATAATATAGCATATTTATGCCAAGTATATTCTATAGCACACAAACATTTCTGCTTTAATTTTTGAAGTAACATTTTTAAAGAAATCATAAATTCAGATGATTTGTGGATAGAAACTACTTGATTTTGAATTTATCATTTGAAAGGAATATATATATATATATATTCATTTGGTATCCACATCAACTGATTTTTAATTAGCCTTTTACATTAAAGTAATAACACTTGAAAGTTTATGGGACCTCAGGTTTATGACAGTTGACATCATCCTATATAATAAAAGGCTAATATGCAAATAAGGTAAGTGGCAGAACAACTGATTGCTATGACGTGCACTGACCACCATGGGGCAGACACTCAATGGTGGTCAGTGTGCTCCCACAGGAGCTGGGCTCACGGCTGGCGAGCACAGCGGTGGTGGTGGAGGGAGCGAAAATAAACCGGCAGTCGGACATCCCCCGAGGGATCCCGGACTGTGAGAGGGCGCAGGCCAGGCTGAGGGAACCTGCCCCCCCAGTGCCCGAATGTCGTTCACCAGGCCTCTAGTTTTAAATAAAAATAATTTTATTGTATTATGATCACAAAAATTATATATGCTCATTGTAAAATATTCTGAAAATTCAGGAAGTTACAAAGAAAGAAGAAAGCAAAAAGCAAAAAAATACCATCATCATTCGCCTTGATGATGACTACACATCTGCTCACAAGATTACTGTCACATTTCCTCAGGATGCGTGAGTGCATCTGTGCTCACATTGATGCTCTCGGCTGTGCTTCTGCTCATGCATTTGCTCTCCTTTACAAATTCAAACCTTATAAAAATTGGGTCATAAAATTTGTTTAACTTTGACAATCATATCTTAAACATCCTTTCATGGTAATAACATTTTCTATCTCTTTATTGGCATTATATGAATGTATCAATTTAAGCAATTCTCGACATTTAGGATGGTCTCTTGTATTGATATTATGATTAATTGTATGTGCATCTTTGTGCAGGTATTTATTTCCTTTATATGAATTCTTAGGAATGGAATCCCTGGCTAGAAGATCTGGACGTTTTGAATGTTTTTATCAACCAGCAGATTGATTTCTAGAAAGGTCATACCATTGTATGCTCTCTGACACTGGACATGATCAATCTTTGTAAATTTTTTTTTTGTATTTTTGCCAATCTGATAGTTGAATAAAAATCTCACTTTGATTTGCATTTTTAAATAATGAATGACTAAAAAAAATTAAAAGCATGTTTACCAACCATTTGTATTTTTTTGTTGACTATCCATTTATATCTTTAGCCCATTTTCCTGATGGGCAGTTTCTTTTGTTCCTCCTCCTCCTTTTAAATTTTAAGATCTCTTCATAATATAAGGATGTGAACTTTTATTTGTCATTCAGAATGCACGTATTTTACCATTTAAATATATTTGCTGGTTTTTGTTTTATTTTAGAGATACGTTGGTATCACTGTTTTCCACTTGGTATTTCCACATTTTAATATGACCATTATAATTCATAATGACTCGGTAGATGGATTAAGGATTAGACCTTTAAAAAAATGAAGATACTTTTTAGACGGGAAACAATTTTTGCAGATGAGAAAGATCATGAATTGCTCATGTAATTATATATGTTTGCTGTGATTACAGTTTCAATTGCTGCATATAAAATAGAAATTATGGGAGGGAGATATTTTAATAGCTATAGTTGAAAGACTCCTTACTTTAAATGTCAGACAGTCCTGGCTTTATTTATTTGTTCTTTAACTTAGACAACAAATGTTTAAGTACCTATTATATATTAAAAATTCATAATGGTTTCTCTATTTACTGCTATGTGACCAGGGCAGTTTACTTAACTAATCAGTATTTTGACTCAATTTATTTATTTTTAAAAGAGGGATAATACGTACCTTGTTGACTTATTGTAAGGATTATAGTTTACCTGAAGTATCTAAGAGCACCAGACATATAATCAGACAACAATAAACATTTAGTGTTGGTGTTTATTCTTTATAGTAACAGAACACGGTACTTTTAGCCTGTTATTATACTATATAACAATGATGGTGAACCTATGACATGCGTGTCAGAGGTGTCACGCGAACTCATTTTTTAGTTGATTTTTCTTTGTTTAATGGCATTTAAATATATAAAATAAATATCAAAAATACAAGTCTTTGTTTTACTATGGTTGCAAATATCAAAAAATTTCTATATGTTACACGGCACCAGAGTTAACTTAGGGTTTTTCAAAATGCTGACATGCCGAGCTCAAAAGGTTCACCATCACTGCTATATAATATCATTGCTGTGGGTAGTAATTTAGCATATGGAGTAATTAACTATGGTTATTATAATTTTCCTAGAGGCCCGGCGCATGAAAATTCATGCTGGAAGGAGGTCCCTCAGCCCGGCCTGCCCCCTCTCACAGTCCGGGAGCCCTCAGGGGCAGGAGGCGACCCAGCGATCAGGGGAAGGTGATGCCCCCATCACACCTCTGCTGCTGCCACTGCCGGCAGCACAAGCCTCAGCCTGCCCTGGTTACCTAAGCCTCGGGCAGCCCTGGGCAGCTGGGCAGCCAACAGCCGAGGCTTGCTTGCACCTCGGGTCTGCCCTGGGCAGCTGGGCAGCTGACAGCCAAGGCTTGCCTGGGCCTCCGGCTGGCCCTGGGTGACTGGAGGGCTGAGGGGACTAGGAGACTCTGGAGACGCGTGTGGCAAGGCCGGGCCTGTCTGCTACCCCGGTGGGGCTGAGGGGACTGGGCGCTGTCATCTTGTGGCTGTGGGCACTGCCATCTTTGAGGGCATAGCAGTCAATTAGCATATTCCCTCCTTATTGCCTGTTGGTGCCACCATCTTTGAGGGTGGGGCAGTCAATTCGCATATTCCCTCTTTATTGGCTGTGGGCGCTGCCATCTTTGTGATGGTGTGAGGGTCAATTAGCATATTCCTTCTTTATTAGATAGGATTAATAGAGAGAATAGAGCCTACTTAGGTTGACTATACTTAGGATCTGTTAGATAAATAATACTTTCTTATTTTTATATAGCAGTTTAGTTTTCAAAGCTTTTTACTCATTTCTTATTTGTTCCATACAGATTTCCTTTAAGATAAGCAGGGCCTGTATACTTTTCCATTTTACAACTAAGGAGCTGAAACTTAGAGAGGATGATTGACTTATCCAAGGTCATATGGCTTATAAGTGATTAATGAGGTTCATATTTTCTCCCACCTATATTTAAGATTCTCGCTGAATCTAGATTGACGCTCAGTATGGGAAGGCACAGAGAATGGAGTCTATACTAATAAAATGGTAATATGCTAATTAGACCAGACGTCTTCTGGACACCTTTCCGGAAAAAGCCACAGTGGCAATTAGGGGCGATCAGGTGGGCAGGGGAGAGCAGTTAGGGGCGATCAGGCGGGCAGGGGAGAGCAGTTAGGGGCGATCAGGCAGGCAGGCAGGTGAATGGTTAGGAGCCAGTGGTCCTGGATTGCGAGATGGATGTCCAACTGCCTGAGGGGTCCTGGATTGGAGAGGGTGCAGGCCAGGCTGAGGGACACCCCCCCCCTCCGTGCACGAATTTCGTGCACTGGGCCTCTAGTTTGACTATAATTGCCCAGTCTTCATTTAGCTTTAACCATTTTATAGTTCTTTCTATTGCTCCCATTTCAGTCATGTGAACATTGGCCTTAATGTCTTAGTTGTCTATAGCAGTGATTGAAAAAAGGAAGGGAGGGAGGGAGGGAGGAAAAGTTTATCTGATAATATATGCTTGGGAGCAAGTTCTCAAATGCTCCCTATAGCTGTGATTTTTAACCTTTTTAAAAAATCTCATGGCACACACAAATTAATTACTAAAATTTTGCAGCACACCAAAAAATACATTTTTTGCAGATCTGATAAAAATATATGTATAATTTTGATTGATAAAAAAACCTAGTAATTACCTACCTTTTTTGCTCCAAAGTGACTTTCTAAAAAGCACTTGCCTATACTTGTATATAAGGATTTCTGGTACCAAGAATTAGCTAATCAGATGCAACCTTATTATGTGATGTGACCAATAAGATGCAACTGTATTATATGACCTATATATTTATGGTTCAAGACAGGGCATTCATACTGGATAGCTATTGTTGTATTGATTGTGGTCTTTTTTTTTTATTATTTGACAATCTAAGGGAAAAGAGGTCAGTACCCCTGACTAGTTAGGTGTTGCATGTTTCAGAAATCTTTGCAGCATACCAGTTGAAAATTGCTGTTCTGTAGCATTGATGGTGGTTATAGTGAACCACATCTCTGGATATTCATGCCCATGTGAAGTCCCTTTCCTTTCAATCGGGACTGGGCCAGTAGCTTATTTTACAAAACGGAATGCCACAGTATTAAACTCCTCCAGGTCTGGATGTAAGCCCTAAGAAGGCCACGTCGTTTTGGCTTTAGTGTTTTGGGAGACCTGAATCATCATGTAAGAAATCTGGCTACCTTCCCAGAGACACCATTTGGAAAAGAGGTCTCATGGAGACAGAGAAGCCCTGAGATTGCATAGAAATAGCAACCTAGTTACCCTAGTACTCTAGCTGAGCCCACCTCCCCGCTGCCAGCTGAAAGTAATCACGAGTAACCATCAGCAGGAGAATCAGAAGCGCCTAGGTAAGCCCAGCTAAGCCTGCAGCATTACAAACAAATGGTTATTTTTCTTGAGCCAGTAAGTTTTGGGGTGGTTTGTTACACAACAGTAAAAAAAGCAAAAGAAGCATAACAGTGTTCTTGAAAACAAAAGTTTTGCTAAAGGATATTTACTTTGCTTGTCCTCTTTTGACAGTTTTGGTCATTCCATGGCTTGCAAATATCATGCAATATTGAAGAGGGATAATAGTAATAAATAATTCTTTTCCTTTACAGAAGCTCATCTCATTCTAACACAACTACATGGGTTTGGCTGATACTTGGGTGAATCTGAGGTAAACCAATCTCTCCATACTGATTCTCAGGCGATAGGGTTGCTGTCTATGTTCAGGGCTCTGATTCCTCTTCTCCGTTAAGTTTCTCACTCTCAATCTTTTGTGACTCTTTTCTCCCTGTCAGAGTTGTTGGGTTTGGCCTGGGTCAGCCAGGTAAGATAAGATGGAGTAGTCTTTCTTCCTCACTTGCACTTATTTCTGTAATTCAGAAAAGACTTGGGCAAGTCTTTTGGGGCTGAAAGTGGATCTAAGACCAGGAGTCACCTTATTTTTGATCATTTACATATGAATTAGCAGGGAATATATTGAGCTATCGCTCATGAAGTTTATTTTTTCCTCTCAGAGAGTAGAGTCTCTACTATTTAACTTTAAATATTGAAATATAGTTTTTTTTCATGTTTCTACTAGAGATAAGAATCAATGATCCAAAAATTTATAATTTTTTAAACAAATTTTTTGTTAAAATGCTTTTTGTGTTTAAAACTACAAGAAGATAGATTTAAAATTCCAGAGGTTGATTGGCTTTCACATTGATGGAGCGAGGGTCTCCTTTTATTTGCTCAAACAACAAGAACATGGACAGAACAATTACAACCAACCATTTTAGAATTCTGGCAGTTAACTAGAGAATGAACTGAAAATCCATGGCCCAAGAGAAAACTACTGAACCATGAGAAGACAGTGGAGCCTGTTTTAACTAGAGGTGATTTCCATCTTTCCTCTTTCCCCAGCTTAGTGATATAGCAAAAGCTGGCAGCATTACAGACCAGACAGTTGAGAGATCTGACCACTTTTGGATATTCATTAAAAACACCAGCTCCAAAGCACAGTTGATATGTTGTCCAAGCTTGCAGCTCCCTGGGAAAACTCTGTCCTCAGAGAGTGGTTGACTATTTGATTTGACTCAGAGCTCAGCCCAGTTGGGGGAAGAAGAGGCCTATCAGGGCTTTGCTGAAACAATAGCAACTGTTGGCAACATATCCACTGCTTAAGGCTGTGATTTCAGTTGGGGCAAACAAGTGTCTGCCCAGGATTTTAAAAGGAAATCTTGGAGAATTAGCCAAGGGAAAATCCTAGGGAATTTGGAAAAGCTCCAAAGTATTCCTGGGGATCTGAAAGGTTGCACAATGTGCACAGCTGTGCACATGCCCAGGAAAGACCTGGGGAAGGAGATCACCTATGGCTGAGGTTTTATGTAAGTAGGAAAATAAAGCTAGGACTGTCTTATAAACTGACTGAATTTCAAAGGTGTGACTACTCATAAAAATTCTTTGGGCAAATGATGGAAGACATCAGGCAAACATTTAAGGAAATTCTCTAACCAATCATTGGTTGACCACTAAGTTATACTGACCTAGTGTGACTCCTAAAAAGCCAGGCTTAAAAATAAAAATAGAACTTAAAAAAAATTAGTAGAGAGCTCAGTGGCCAGCACACTACAGGGAACACAGAATCTACAAAATTAGCTCATAAAAGTGCTAAACTATTTGTAGTGTCATCAATAAAAACAAAATCAGTGTTAAAAATCTTGGGGCAGTGTGGAGAATTTGATACTACAGTTGTTAAAATACATTATCTAAAATGTTCAGTTTTGAACAAAAAATTGAGACATGCAAGAAATAGGAAAGTATACCACATACACAGGAAAGAAACCCACAAAAATCTGCTAAAAGAATTAATGTCCCATCGGGATCTCAGATCTAGGCTTAATAGACAGACTTTAAGTCAGTTTTTTATAAATATGTTCAAAGAATTAAATGATACCATGTAAAGAATTAAAGGAAGGTATAAGAATGATGTCTTGCTAAAGAGAATATCAATCAACATAGAAATTATTGGAAAAGTACCATATGAAAATTCTGAAGTTTAAAAGTATAATAACTGAAATGAAAATTTACTAGTTGGGCTTAACAGATAGGAGTTGACAAATGAAATAATTTGTCAATTTAAAGATAATTCACTAGAGATTATCCATTGTGAGGAATAGTAAGAAAATAAAAATGAACAGAGCTTAACAAGATCTATGGGGTGTCATCAAGTGTGTCAATGTATGCATAATTGAAGTCCCAAAAGAAATAATGGCAGAAGACTTAATTTAAAATATTAATCTACACATTACTCAGTGTACTTTAAGTTAAATAGTGCTATCCACAGTTAGACACATCATAGTCAAATTTACAAAAAAGAAAGAAATTTTAAAAGCTGAAAGGAAAAAAAAAACATGTAAAAGGGATTCCCAATAAGATCAATAGCTAACTTATCAGAAACCATGGAGGCTAGAAGACATTTTCAGAGTATTAAAAGAAAAAGACTATCAACCAGGAATTCCATATTTAGCTAAACTTCAAAGATGAAGGAGAAATTAAGACATTTACAAATAAATGAAAATCAAGAGAATTTGTTGCTTGCAGAGTGACCCAACAAGAAATATTAAGGGGAGTCTTTCAGTTTGAAACAGAAGGATACTAGACAGTAAACTCTAATCCACATGAGAAAATAAAGAGCAGTAGTAAAGGTAACAACGTGAGTATTATGAAAGATACACATGGAAATACAGTTTTTTCTTTGTAACTTTTTCTCTCCTGTTTTAAAAGACAACTGCATGAAGCAGTAATAATAAATCTTTGTTGATGAGCTTATAACATATAAAGACATAGTTTGTTTGACAATAATAATTTAAAAAAGAAAGGGAAGGGAATGGAGGTATATTGCAGGGAAAAAATTATATAGGAATTAATTCAAACTAGAATGTTTTGGGTTAAATGCTAATTGTAAATTCGAGGGCATTCACTTAAGGAAATAACACAAAAAAATTAGTGACAGTAACAAGGAATGAAAAAGGTACATTAGAAAATATCTAACACAAAAAGGGCAGGAATTAAGAGATATGTGATATTATAGAGCTGAAATATTCTCTTAGAGAGGTTACAATGTGTAATTTTCACATTAAATCATGTATTTATATAATTTTTACCAGTAGAACATTTTGACTCATGGAGCCTCTTAAGGACTTAGTTTTATGGTACTACTAGACACTTCTCAATAGATTTTAAAAATATGGTATAAGAAAAATGCACCAAAGTCAAGTCAGTGTAGAAAGATTTTATTAACCCTAGTTCTTAAATTGTGGCTTTGTTTTCCTGGAGATGAAACAGCAGTATACAGAAATGAGAGATACCTTTGATTTTGTTTCTAAAATTTGAGTATGGAAAATGTAGTTATTTTCTTCCTCTAAAATGTGGGGGGGGTGGGGGGAGAAGATGAACAAAGGACTTTGGAGGATAGAGGAGATAATGGGAAAGAAAGGTTATGCACATAAAAATAGGGCTGTTGAAAAGAGAAATGTCCTGGGCAGAATATTTCAGAAGTCTTGAGAAGTATTTTTTTTATCCGCCTTTTCATATATTATTGGTTCTGTTTTCCAAAGGTGCCCAACCCAGTGGAGATGTGATCTTATATGCATAGAAACTTAAACCCATGTTTAGCTTTTTGGTATGAAGAAAGTTTACTTATATCAAACAATATATGTAATTTCCTTATTATATCCATTATTATATATTATATTAATATATATTATATTCATTTAAAAGTATTTTAAATGAATTTTCTTACAAATCAGTTAAACTATCATTTAAAAATAAAATTCTCAATTTGTTTTCAGTCCTGGACAGTTGAAGAATAAAGCATAGTTGCATCAGTAATGATGACTCACTCAACTGGGAGCATCTCTCTGGGTGAGAATAAGTAAGATTTTTAAAAGACCTCTGAACAGTTCTGATATGGTATACCTCCTTTTCATTATAAATTATAAATTTAAACCATAGATTGAAACCATTATAGAAATTGGTATTATTAAAAGATGACAAAGATTAAATTTAATCTACTCATGTGAAAACTGTTTTTTCTTCAGTGATATTAAACCTCTCCAACACTTCTATTAACCTTACCAGAGTTTTTAAGACATTTTTATTCTTAGTTTTTTAAAACCTTATTAACTGTTAAGTGTGCAGTACAATAGAGTTAACTATATGCATACAGATCCCTAGAACTTTTTCATCTTACAAACTGAAACCCACTACCCTTTGAAGAATAACTCCCTTTTCTCCTTTCCCTTGGTCTCTGGTAATCACTGTTCTACTTTCTAAGAGTTTGACTACTTCAGATGTTTTATGTAAGTGGAGTCATGCAGTGTGAGTGTTTTTGTGACTGTCTTATTTTACTTAGCATAATGTCCTCAAGGTTTATCCATATTGTAGCGTATGACAGATTCCCTTCTTCTTCTTTTTTTTTTTTAGGCTGAGTTATGTTCAAATGTATTTGTATACTATATTTTCTTTATTCATCCACCAATGGGCATTTAGGTTGCTTTCACTCTTGGCTATTGTGAATAATGCCACATTGATCATGGGTGTACAAATATCTCTTAGAAATCTTGCTTTTAATTCTTCTGGGATATACTAGTATGTCCAGAAATGGGATTGCTAGATTGTATAGCAATTCTGTTTTTAACTTTTTTAGGAACTTCCATACTATTTTTTATAATAGCTGCACCATTTTACATTCCCACCAACAGCACACAAGGGTTCTAATTTCTCCAGAGCCTTACCGACACTTGTTATTTTGTTTTTTAAGAAATTATATATATATATTGGCCATCCTAATCATTCCTAGGTTTTTAACTTACTGCTAACATGTAAGGCCTTTGTTTTGTTTACTTATTTTTCACTTTCTTAAGAAACAGAATAGTTATTTTAGGAGGTTTCCTGTAATTATTGCAAAACTTCACACTGCTCCCTGACCTCAAACACTAGAACACCATTTGGGGCCAATGTTTGTGTTTTCTTTTTTAAGGGTAAACTTGCCTTAATAGCATCATCATAATGGTGATTGCTGTCTCTGGGCTGGCTTATCTGCTCTGGTTTCCAAGCAGCCGATAAATGCCACATCTTTGAGGGTATGACTGCAGTGTATACCTAATGTGTTCTTCAGCTCTCTCTGAATATGGTTGTTTCCATGCAGCATCTGCTTGTGAACCTTGCTGTCAGCCAATCTCCACAGTTGTCTTGCTAAGTGGTGTTGTGCTGCCAAAGACTATGCTTCAATGCTGGTAGACCTTCTAGTGCCCTATATTTGATGATCCTGTCTAGGCATTTAATAGTATGTACAGTTTATAGGTGATGTTTATGATTATGTTCAAGACTAACAGATATAATGCTTATAATCCATTTAGTTCTCACAGCTGTATATATTTCAGCATTTTCTGTTTTGCGTACGCTTAGATTGAATTAGGATCTCAGTGTTGCTTCTAACCTCACTGACTCTTTTAAAGACTATATGGTAATATTGTAAGGTTGAAACAAAACAAGAAACACTTCGAATCTGTATTAAAGTTTTGACTCTGCCACTTGTTGGTTGATTTACCTTTTGATGTGTCTTATCCTCTCTGAGGCAGAAATTTCATCTGTAAATGGAATATAATGATACCTTTTATTTTTAAGGCTTCATTAATATTGTGAGCTTGTGTTTTTGGGAAGCCTTTTAACCAAGGAGCCTATCACATTAGAATTTCCTTCCTTCAAATAGTGAAGGTGAAGGGCATTTCAAACTCAGTGGTACTTTTTTTTAATCCTCACTCTAGGATATGTTTTCATTGATTTTTAGAGAGAGAAGGAGAGAGGGAGGGAGGAAAGGAGAGAGGGAGGTAGAGAAAAAAACAGAGAGAGAGTAAGAGAGAGAGAGAGAGATGAAGAGAGAGAGAGGAACATTCATCTGTTGCCTCCCATAAGCTCCCCAACTGGGGATGGAACCTGCAACCAAGGTATGTACCCTGACCTGAAATCAAACCCACAATCTTTTGGTGCATGGCACAATGCTGCAATCAACTGAGCCACCCAGCGAGGGCTCTAGTGGTACTTTTACGAACCATATTTGAATATTTGACAGGAGATCTTCTGATATGTTTGATTCACTAATACATCAATTAACTATCCTTTTATTAGGACCAAGGCCTTTCCTCATAGTATATAGATTTGCTAATTGGAACTCCAAGTCTTTCATAAATCTACATTCATAACAAATAATTTCCAGTTTACATTTTGTTTTTTAATGTATTTTAAAAATTTAGACATTTGAAAAGGAGTGGCTCTCAAAGTGCGATTCCCAGACCAGTAGCACCAGCATGATGTGGGAATTTCTCAGCATGCAAAATTCTTGGTTTTAGCCCATTCTTACTGAATCAGACTCCATGGGGATGGGACTCAGCAGTGTATGCTTCCACACAGCCTCCATGCTAACATTGGGAACAACTATTCTATATTTTATGCTTTACTCCAGTTTTTATATTTCTCTTACATTTGCCACCCAGCTCCTTCCTCACCCCAGGCCTTCACCATATTTTTGTTTATGTCCATGGGCCATGCATGTGTGCCTATAAGATGAAATTTATTTTAATTACTCCCAGATCTCCTAAGTCAGTATTATGGAGAAAGCAGAGAACCCACCCAGTGGTTCATATGAAAGATGTGTGCCTTTTATTCTATTTATTTATTTATTTATTTATTTATTTATTTATTTTATTTTATTTTTGTTTTATTCTGAATATTTTTTCCCAGTATGTAGCTTTTTTATCCATCCTCTTAACATGGTCTTTCACTGAGCAATACTTCTTCTTTTTTTTTTTTGCTAGTGTTTATTTATTTATTTATTTTATTTTATTTTATTGTTTTATTCTTGACTCCAAACAGGGAAATGTGTAGCAGCTAATTCTTGAAGTAGAAAACATGAAAATGTTCTTTCCCAGCCTGAGACTGGCTTTTGCTCTGTCTTATAGTGCTACTTTGATTTTTGGGGAAACCAGTCACGTGTGGGCTAATTCAGTTGAACACATCCTGATGACCATTCCTGTCAAAGTGCAGGTGAAGTATGTGCCCACCTTTGAGATCCTGAAATCTGGCCTACTGAATTGCAAACATTGCTCTTTGGCTATATTCTGGATGGAGTTTTGGCTGAGCTGCTTTTTAAAATATTTGTTTTAATTATTTGTATATTTTTAACTACATTGCTAATCTCACAAAGGGAAAGGGCCTAAATAGCCCATCTGAATCAATTATGAATCATCTCGTTACTGCAATAGCTGGATGGTAGTACTCCTGTGAAATAGTAATTGAAAACTACCTAATGCAAAGAAATTAACTATTGCATAACATCATGAGGATATTGTATATTGTCTAGTAACAGCAGTATTAGTTCCACTGAAATCGTTATAGATTTGATATTGCTTAGTCTTCATTCTTCAGTGACACAGCAAACCAGTCATTCCACCAACAAAGTAATACATGCTATAAAGCTCATGAAGAAAGAAGGAATGTTGCTTAAATGCTTAAGATGGACTCAAGTTTTTGTTAGAGATAGGCTCTAAACCCACATATTAGATATGCTTAGCATAAATTGTGAGCCTGTTTAAATTTTACCCTTCTGTCTGGAGAAGTATTTATAAAAGTAATGAAAATTTTAACTTTGTTCATAATTAAATTGAAGACACAAATTACACATACTAATTATAGAATAGGTTTTGAATGGTAACTATAAGCTAGTGATATGTATGTGTTGTATCATTTTATAGAGGCACTGTCTTTTTAGCGTGGCATTGTCTATGTTTTATCACTGAGAAAAATAGAAAGCTGCTGACTTGCCCAAGATAACTTCTTACTAGTAGGTAATGGAGTTGGGATTTGAACAGTAGTTTGTTTAACACTAAAAGCTCAACCTTTTAACTACTACTTTACACCTTAATATCCGGTGCTTTAATATTCCTGGCCTGCTTTCAAAAACTTCTCTCTTCCTGTCAATTCCAGAGATAACATTCAATAACTTGACAACAATGACCTTTCTAAACAAATACAGAGTGTTACAGAACCAGATGGCCAAAGATTATATTTTATTTTTCTGGCTCAACATAAATTGACTGATAAAATCCAAAAAAGATCCTTCTGTGTCCTAGGACTTCATCAGGCCACATGGCAAGCCAGTGCCCTTTATCAGGAGCCAGTCATGAGTACAGAACCTTATGTCTTTATACCATAATTTAGATTAGGGCCTAATGAAAGGGCAAGAAGCTGGTTTAATAAGTGAGATCATTCTGCGCTTTAGTAATGGCAGTGCATTTGGGTAGAGAGATTCTGAGGAATTAAAGACAGAAAGGCAATGATACTGTCTGTGCCATTAAGTGGATGTAAGCAAGGAGAAGGCGATTACAACTTAACAGACTGCCAACTTAGGCCTCTTTTTTTTTTTCCTTTTGGGATTTAAGTAGGATTTTTGTTATAATTAGAAACTGTTCTTGATCATTCAAAATTGGGTATCTTTTTGACAGTCTTAGATAAATATTTTTAGAAAATATGTTTCTATATTATAAACTTATTATATTAGAAACATAAGTTACTATATCACACACAAGCATGAGCATAATGCTTTCATGAGCTCAGTACACTTAGCAAAGTTCAGACTTAGACCAGATTATACAGGGGAAGAAAAGAAATGTTTCCAAGCTATATTGAAGCCAACATGTAATTGACAGTAAATTTCAATAACAAAACAAGCACTGGACGTGGAGTTCCTCAGCCGGCCTATGTCTGAGGCTTCTGTAAGGATCCTCTAGCAAATGGTTTAAATTCTCTGAGTCTCAGTTTTCTTTATTTGTAAAATGAGGTTAGCGTAACATTACCTGCCTTCTTTCATTACAGAGT